TTTATCATTGCAGTCTATGGGAATTCATTTGTAGTGGTGCACCCTTAAGAAATGGCCTCTGGCAAGCTTGGGAACGTTCACTGTAAGTTGGGAGGATGGTTTGATTTGGTGGATAATTTGCTGAATCAGTATAGGCTAAATATGTGACGGAGGGGTACCCCCGGCATGTCCAATCCCCATACACTCCTTAGAGTATTGTTACCCAACACATCCCCTAGATGTCTGTAAAGAATTCCTGAGACTTCGATCAAACAATGACCAACATGCATGTGTTTGGGCGTGTGTGCGTGTGGGGTACTCTCCGTCCCATGTATCGCTTCATACGTTAAATTAGTGCAGTGCACTCATTATTACCTTTGTATTTGGCGTGGTATGGCCGCTGGTGACTTCAAGGACAAATGTGGGCTAATTAAGGGCGTGGCAAGTCCAGACATGTTCCCGGTAAATGGTGTCCGTGACCGCCCTCTCTGTTCAACTGCAAATTGCGCACATCCCATGGAAATATGAAAAACCATCACGTCAACAGGCAAGCAAAATCCTGGCTTCGTGCTTGAAATTATACAATTACCAGTACTGCCATCGTTTTTGTCTGGACTCCCAAAACAAAAGGTCAGCATACACAACGCTGTGTTTGAAGTGCACCACCATTTTCAGGAAACAGTCGTCTGGACCGCACTGCGTGTCACGATTGATTGTCCAGTTTCCACGCGTGTAAACTATGCGGGCCCAAACGCAATACGAGAGAGTCTTCTTGTACACAAAGAAACATTAATGGAGTGTAATCAGTTGTATTCATGATATTAGCCTATGTAATGTTACGCTGGTTCACCATTTTCTCTTGAAACAACATGACTTTCGAAACTATTTTGAAACACTATTTGTCTTACGTCTCTTAGAGAATGTAGGGAGAGCGTGACACGCATGTATTTTGCATCTGCGTCAATAAAAAGTCCATGACCAGCATTTTTGTAACTACATGTAGAAGCCTTACCTACCAGCAAAAAACTGAGTCAAGCCGTGATTATTCTCTGCTTTCACCTTTCATATTGCAACCACAGTGAGTTCATTCTCCCAACGACTAGTTGTTCTCGATTGATCAAGAACCAATATGCATTGTGTGTGAAGTAACAGGAAAGGTCTGTTTCCTGGAATATAAGCCTGAAATATAGTTCATCGGCGAGTGATGTTGGAAACATATTCTTGTTTACACACAAGGAAATTTAAACTGTAAGTATTGATCTGTCATCATTTTACCATGAGGATTCTGCTAGGATCAGAATGTCAGGCTTTTTCAAGATTTGCAGAGGTCCGTCTAGCTTGGTTTGGTTTTGCTACCTTTCACAAATTATGATATGAAAGTAAAGGCGATGGATGGCGTATATCAAATATAGAGCCTGTATTTCATTTCACTACTTCAGTAATTAATTTGAATCAATTTTCATGTTTCAGTTCTTATCATTTGTCAATTTGTGAATTTGTTTTGTTCGGTCAAGCTTGAATAAATGCATTCAGATCCAGATCATGTTTTACTTTCGTGTGTAATATTCTTCAGAAGAAATCCGCATGCTCTCGTCCTGGACGGGATTGGAAGCTAAGTACACATTGATAGAAAACAAGAAAAGTACTAGCGCAGCAACCTGTCTGTTGCTGGCTTGTCATGGAAAGTTGTCACGTTCATACTGATACAGTCACATTACAAGACTCACCTTCTTTCAATTCCGTCATATTAACAATTTCCATTTCAACGAAAGGACCAAATGATTTGTATAAAGTAGTCATGGTGAATTCGAAGTACCCATATTCAATCATTATACGTTTAATCACACAAAGCTTAAATTGAAATTTCTTTCACAGATAAGCAACTATAACATGTCCACATCAACGGAGAAGTACCTTCAACACAAGGTCAAGTACCCTTGTATCACTGTTGAGCCTGTCGTATTAGTATTCTTCATATCTTACAGTATGATAGTTACGTTGCGAGCTGAATATATCACCCTAAGAATCGCCGATGGATTGGATGGGACGAAAGGCTCTAGATCCGCAGTGCTTGGGCCAGACGACACTCTTTGTCGTCATCTTAGTAACCAGTCACAAGAGGCACTGTATGCAGAGACCCAGTCTAGGGCCTCTTATTGGCTACTGTTGCTCAATCTCTTTCAAGTCGTGCCGTCACTTGTAAGCGCTCCCCTTATTGGTTCCTGGAGTGACTTGGGTGGGCGCAAGCGCGCTCTAGTCATCCCTATCATCGGCTACCTGATGGGCTCCATCGTCTGGATCATTGTGACCTACACCGATGGCAAGCTTTGGTACTTATTGCTCGCCGAATTCTGTCTAGGCCTGACTGGTGATTTCTCGGCAGTGTTAGCGGTCTGCAACGCCTACTTAGCCGACATTACCACCGAGCGCGAGCGGACCTTCCGCCTGATACTGGTTGGCATTACGATCGAGGTTGGCACAGGGGCTTCGCAGATCCTGGTTGGGTACTGGGTGGTCCAGCAGGGCTTCGGTGTCCCCTTCTGGTTCGTGGTGGCCACTATGCTCGCCAGTCTCGTCTACATTACCGTCCTCCTGAAAGAAACCCGTGGTAAATCTGGAGGGCTGGAGAACCTTGAGCTGTTTAACAACCGTCTGCTTGATGATATCTACGGGATGTTCATGCGATACAGCAGCAAGCAGCGAAGGCAGATGATGTTTTTTATGATTGTCCTTGGTGTCCATATGACCATCCTTTACACGGCTTTTCTTCTCATACTCCTCTACGTCCTAAGCCCCCCTCTATGCTGGACACCCATTACTGTTGGCTATTACGTAGCGTCGGCTCTCTTACTCGGATCTGCAGGTAAAGATGTCATTTTATTTTAATACTGAGACAACCCAACTGATAATGAGATAAAAGTGAGAAACTTGATTTAAGGCTGGAATGGTTAGTAGAAGCAGATAAGTTGGTGGAAGGAGGGAGGGTTCGGGTTTGATGCACGTCTTAAGCTTACCACGTTTATATCGACCTCCCCCATTTTGGGAAGGTTAGGATCGCCGTGAACAGTTGTAATCACATCAGACAAGTCATCACATGCCCTCATAATTTCAGCAGCCAATTTCCACTTTTAATTTTACAAGCAGTTCAAATAAATTGCGGTAAAAGCATTCCTTTGATTCCAGCATACTTGTGGCTGATTGTGGCTTGAGTTTCTTGTGACTGACTTAACATGCTTGACAATCCTGAGCATCATCTTCTCTCTGCTAATGAGCCGCATTTTGGCCTCCAGGTCTGATTTTTAAGTTCAGACTTTAGTTCTACTAGGAAGAGAATAAGCACAAAAGAAAAGTCGAAGCAAAATAAATTCAATTTTTCGGAAAAGCCACTGTCTCTATATAGCGGTAGTCAACCCCATTGCTATGCTATCTTCGGGCTGGGGTGGCGGGGTGGGGTGAGGTGGGGCACAGTACCAGCTAGGGGGCACATCACAAGCACAATAGATTCAATGCTTAATGTTTTGTAGATGGAAGACTAGATTTCGCCGGGGGGCGCCTACCCCCACACCCCGGCGACTGGGCTGGTGGTAATTCTCTATACTGTGTTGTGCAGGTACGTTACTCGGAGGGAAGATTTTCAATATGTGTGTTAATGACCTCGGCGTGGTGCAATTGGGGGCGCTCTCCTTTGCGGCAAGTCTCACCCTCGTTGCATTTAGCCGATCGACTACGATCCTCTTTATTGGTAGGTACCAGATGGGAAATTAAATCAAATTGGTGCAAATCTGGTCCTCTAGCGTTTAAAACAGAGTGAATACGGTTTTTAAAGTGCTTATGATTAAGAGCGACTGAAATAACACTACAGGGTCACCAAACCTTTGCATGAATAAACGTATTGCTGCAATGAATGAAGCAGAGCCAACGGAAATTATAAGCTGCCAGTTTTTAGACCTTAATTAAATATACTCAGAGGAAGGCGATTCCTTCGTTTGGTATTAATTTTAGACAAGTTCTCAAAATATTTGTATTGTGATAATTAGGTTCATGTCCATCTTGTTACCATATTGTCTTGCAGCTGGTATTTGTGGTTCTTTCCGGTTCCTTGTGTCGCCTGCAGTTCGTTCACGACTATCAAAACTTGTGGATGAAGAGGAACAAGGTAAAGAATACATGCAGTGAACTTAAACTGGAAGCATACAGGCTCATTTTCATGAAGTTAATAAAAAGTATGAAATAAATATAAAATTCTATAATTCTATTCTATAAAGTTTCGTTATCATGCAGGTGTTTATTTCTGGAACCCTTTTCATAAGACAATTGGCAATGTTTTTTTTATTCAGCTTTGGTGGGGGGCAAGTCCAAAGCAGATTGGCTTTCTTCCCCGTGTTTGCCAGGACAATTTATACTACTGGGTGGAGAGAGACAAGCAGGGGTAAAGACTACCAAAAAGAAAATCATGTGGCTTATAGCCACGTGATTAATGTGAGCCATTTGTATACGAACCTGAAGAGTACACTCTCGAACAGGAAATTTTCTTTGCTAATCGTGACAGCAGAAAGACTTAAAACAACAACTTAACCGGCCTGCAGTTTTGTCCTGCTTAATGTTATTCTGTTCTTGGAAAGCGGCCGCATCTTACTATCCCTAAAAGTCTCATAGGAGTCGAATTGTTAAAAAACTGGAGCAGAAGTATCGCCCTCATCGGATGAAAAGAGCCATGCTGGTCGGAGTGTTCGTTTTGTTGGAAGCACTATAGGCCCCAAGCTGGATGAAAATTGGACGGAGGGAGCGATAAGATTTATGACTTATTTACTGCGAAGGATGCAGTCATACATTATCACAAGCCTTTAGTGAATCTTAACGAATCACCGTGACATTCCCAAACCATGCCGCCAGAGTTCCCAGTCCTTCCTGCAGAGGAGCTCAGTCATCTGTACTTCTTGCTTCATCTAGGCAGGTCTACAAGTCTTTCCCCTAATTTTTTGAAGAAACTTGCATTTCCAATTAAAAGGGCCTCATTTCAAACTAAAATTTAAAACTTTAGGCTAGCCACCTGAAACTCGTTTACTTTTACAAATTTAGCTGAACCAAGCTTTTCATTCAAGTAGGCCTATTTAAATAAACTTAAACAGATCTACATCATTATGAATCAACATTCTTTCTCACACAGGAGCAATGTTCTCACTGGCCAGTAGCATCGAGAGCATCGGCCATCTGATTGGTCCGCTTATTTTCAATCTGATGTATGGGATCACCACAGGCATCTATCAAGGCTTCACCTTTCTGGTTATGGCATCTTTCTACGTACCCATATGTTTTATGACAGGGTGAGTAGTAGCATATCTTGTCTTTCGTAGCAGATCTCGGAAGTGATTGATAACTGCAGAAATTGTCGTCCATTCCCAGAAAATAAAAATGACAGAAAAGCATACGAAATCAAACGAGAGAAAGGAAATTTAAAAAAAGACGAGAGGAAGGCGATTTTTGCTAATATCCTTGAACACCCCCCCTCGAAATTAACCCCTTCCTCTCTTAATTCGTTGTTTCCCCAGAAAATAATTCTAGCGACGCCCATGCGGTTGTTCCTTTCCTCAAAGTTTACTAGTACTCGTATTATACTTCCCAAAATATTCAGGGACATAGAGGGTTTTTATAGGTCGAGGAGACTTGCAGCTATAATAAAAATAAATTGGGTAAATCTATAGTAATGGCACTGTATAAATTATTCTGTCTGGCGTGCGGACATTTTGAGGAAACAATGGAGGTCACAGTCGTCTCTATTTCAAGCTGTGTCGACGTCTTTCACGTATATTACATTTTGTTTGACGTTTTCGTAAATCGTAGGACACATATTTGCCTATTTTTATAGCCTGAGGTTACCGCGCATTATAAATTATAAAAACCCTGCATGGACAAAGAGGCATTAGACGCACGCGTGCGAACTGCGGTTTAATTGTGGTTGGCTATAGGCTCATTTAAAAACGCCACACAGAAACTTGTTTGAAATGAGGGTCGATACTCAGAAATATGCATTTTCAAACAATACATAACCATCAGGTTAGCTATACAATGTGACACCTACATGACGCAACCCAAAAATATTTACTTTTTCCATTAAGCAATTATGAGAAATTATGTTTTTGGTATCACATTGAAGCTTAGTATGTCACCTGTAAAAAACTGAAGACTTATTTTTTAATTCCGTAATACAACTCATTGTTTGTTCTGTCCAATGGAAATTTATCTTATTTATCTTGCAATGACGTGGTCACTGAATTCAAATCTCCCTATTATTACACAACTGTTAGGGTTCCTGACTTCGTTCTTATTTATCTTGCAATGACGCGGTCACTGAATTCAAATCTCCCTATTATTACACAACTGTTAGGGTTCCTGACTTCGTTCCAAATTCTTTCTAGCTCTTGAACTTTATGAATCTGGTGCTTATGTCAGAGGGCAATGGTTGTTTATTAAATATCACAGTTTAATGAGCTTCAGCTGAACCTGTATAATTTACCTCAGTCATTGTGCTGATCTCAGTTGCTTCTATAATATTTGAACCATTTAGAACCGTTTTAGGATCGTATTTGTTTGCTGATAGAAAACAAAAGACGTTTGATACAGTTCTTCAGTTCAGAATCATCATTTTACAGGTCTTTCTAATGATTCCCCGCGTTACTGCTAGTGTTTAAAGGCATAAGTGATGCGGTAAATCCCCTTGTATGAAACAAAAGGTAGATTTCCTACGTAATCGAGATTATCCACACAACGCGTCGTCAGATTTAGATGAAGTTTATAGTTTTCAAATAATCCCCAAACCAATTATTGCGTTAATTTTGGGGAAAAATAAATGTTATTTTGGGGCTCACCTTTTTGGGGAATCGTCCTATATAGTCAATATCCAAATTAAGATTTAAACGTGTTTGTTGCTTTCGAGCAAAGCGTACAAATGATGTAAATGGTCCTGTCTACAGTCAGGGAGGATCTAGAAAAATTGGTTAAAACAAACCAGAAATTAATTTCAATCACCCAAATTGGGTTAAAACAACCTAAACTATTGCGTAGTTGCAGTTAAGTTTAACCCAGGCAATTTTTCAGTGTACTAAGTATTCTGAATGTGTCAATAGCGGAACGGCTTTTGTGACCAATGGAGAGTTCAATGTTTTCAGACGCTCCTTTAAGATATTGCGTGCTTTCGTGATCACCTGCTCATAATATTACACAAATCAATGCACGACTAGTTGCTCACTGCAAACTACAAGGGCATACATTCTTAAGTGTGCGCGCAATGATTTAAGTTTTTGTTTTCTTCTATATTTTATGCAGTTTTCTGATGGTTTGCAGCACGAAAGTGTTGGAAATGTCTCTTTGTATCATGTTCTGCTTATCTTTACAACATTCCTTCAAACACCTTACATGAATTTTCTCTGCAGGTACTATCAACTGACGAGTTATTGGATATCTAAACACAAAACGGTTTCAACCTCAGACGGGGAGCGCATGGCCACGCCATAATAGTCATTATTCATCCCGAAAATCTATCCTGCCATTTGTGAATTAAACACACACAAAATAACCAGTCTTTTAAAAACGCGCTTCATATTACTGTCAATAGTGCTGATATTGTACCAGAAAGTGTAATATTTGACACTCTGACCAAAACCGCGTCAAGTGACATGGCGATTGTTTTTCACTATTTTTTGTTCCGGCACTCCAAAAACAATATCCTATAATATCCACCAGACTTGCATTTTAGCGCTTATCGGAAATTGGTGTTTCACTATGGAACCAGTGGAAGAAGTTCTTTATATGCTTCAAGTAGGCCTATGATGGAAAGGGACATGATGTGTTTTGTGGAGTGCTTGTTTAAACTGTCAATGTATCGTACGTTCAATGTTATCGATATACTTTTACTTATGATTGACAAAAACAGAATGTATAAAACATCGAGTGGCTCTCCTAACTGACGATCCATTCAAGAAGCCTCTCAATTTAGCTCTTTCAATTATGTCAAATCAAGCGTGAGATACAGAGCATTTCCTCGAGTTACTTCAAGGATTGAGACACGATTACTAGTGGCGGTTGAGGTAATGAACACCGATCTCGAAACATTTTTGCGAGATTAATTTGTGTTTATAAATTGTACAGGTTAAGGATGTTATGAAACAAACACCGACTGCTTGAGCTGTCATATTAGCCAAACTAGCCTTCCTCAGGGATAAGTAGTCATTCCTTTCTGAGTTTTGCCTCCGGATAATAAAGTGATTCATGAAGTACCGTGGGATGCCAGATTTACAATGTATTGTATTACATGTACTCAAAGCAGTATTGGCTTCATTTAAATACATACATGCACAACATTCCAATAACATGACCCAACTGAAGTGCACATTTCACACATAACACGGTGTATCAATCAAAGCCCACAATTTGCATGAAATTCCTTGCATTTAATTTTTAATAAGAACACTAATTTATTTCATAGAGATTTAATATAACTACCTCTTATACAAATATTATGAGTGAAACGTTCACTGGGCACTAACAGAATTATATTTAGGCGAACTGGTATGATGCCTGTGTAAAATTGTACTGTACAAATTTGTCTAATCGATAATCTATTTAAGGGAGAGAAAGTGTTAATGATGGAGTAAGTTTAAAAAGTTGAAATGAGTAAAAATCTCCTGTAAGATGTGCCCTAAAATGAATGGGTATTATGCGTTCCAACACACAGTCTTAAGTATTTGTATCACAGTTTGTTTATTTGCAAGTAGAGATATATAAAGTTTTTGTTATTAATTGAATCTTTTGTAAATGTTGATTGTTTAAAACGAATTTCTCTAGTTAGCAGTGTTCTCTACGGCCTGAAAATATTGCAGGGCGATAGGCAATGTGAGCGCGAAGCCCTTCCGGCGGTAGCCTTGTCCACGGGAGCCACGGCAAAGGGGCCACCGTGTACTATCACGGCACACGAAACGGTACAAGCACAGCAGCCAACCCACAGATCAAGCTATGCGGACGGACACGACGCACTGTACATGTACTTTACATGTACATGTACGTAACGTTACGTTCTGTACATGTCATGCTTAGCCTGCAGGATCTTGCATTAAAATTGCACATTTAATGGCTTTTAAAAATGTTTTCCCTTTTAAGTGATATGGCAAACATTTTAGTCATTGGGAAATAGTTCTTCAAAAACAGATGTATTTTTTTGTTCATCACAAAAGTGAGGGGGGTGATTCAAAATTCCTTCCCCCCTAAGTAGGGGGACATATACCCCCATGCCCTCAGGATTTACACCCATGCTTGTTTGCAACGTCGTCTGCCTAATTTCCTCCTGGTCTGTTCAACTTGCACGTATAGTCGAGTCGAGTAAGCAGAGTCGAGAGAGCATGACAGGTTACGGCTTTGAAGCCAAGAGCGTCAATAATGCTTAACATTAAATATGCTATAAAAATTACTGCTGGCTGTACATGTACACTGTACAGTAGACTACAGAATACCAAGTTAAAATCCATGATGCACCACTGCCTGCATGCATTTGAAGCATGAAGAAGGGAAACGGTTCAAGACTTCATGAAAACTCTATGCATAATGAGCCTAAGTATTTCGTTTCTGTGAGGTTATGTCAGTTGAATTGTTCACATTTTGCATGTGTACCAAGATTTCTAGTGGAGCTCTCACATGATATTTGGCAGCTAAATGTTTCCAATAATGAGACGTCTTCCAATTTTTAGTGACGTGCATTCAAACTCTAGCCCCTCCACCTAACGGTAAATCCCATTTTTTCCCGAAAATGTCAGTTCTTATAGACAAGAAATAACAATCTAATGATAAACCATAAAGGACTTTATCGAGACCCCCCCCAAAAAAAAACAACGATGAAATTTATTTGTTAACCACTAAAAACATTTTCTTCAGGAGTAGGGTTCTTTATTTACAATACAGGTATAACACGAGCACGGAATTCAACATCCCGAAAACCTTGAGAACTTAATGTCATGTTCTGTTGTCCAACTTCTATGTATTCTTATCGCAAAAAAATCTCTTGTGGGCGTTTAAAGGTTAACTTTATACCTGGCAAAAAATTACTCTCCAGTTAAGGTTTTTCTCAAAAGGTGACAGCTTTTCAAGGATTCCCGGCACGTTTTAACTTAAAAGAAGATTCTTTCAAGTGATTTGGGAGATTTTATCCGGTCAATGGAGGGAAAAAAGAACCTGCTGAGGTCTCACAGAAAATCAATGGAATAGTCTTTAAACTAATTAGATTTTTCTCCGGTTTCATTATTGTCTGGTTTACAATAAATGCATCTGAGTGATCGCCTCATGAATTTCCAGAATCTACTTACAAGATTGTGTCTTCCCAAAGTTATGTTTTGAGAGATGCAGTGGAAGAGTTGATGAGGAGCACTTGGTTTTCCTCTCATTGATGCTTGGTGGTTTTTCCTTTTGCTGTACCCATGCTCAGCGGTGTATTCCGTCTTACACGTGGTCTCCTACACCCAAGGAGCATTCGTCTGCGAGCTACTGAAGTTGGCTGAACCTTAATCTGAGTGCTGGTCTGCAGCCTTTGATGTCTTGCCATACTGCGTATCTCTTGAGCAGCAATTGCAATGCCACTGTATTTACCAAAAATGTAGAGAGCAGATACAAGAGGACTTTGAGTATGGATCTTGGATAAGCTTGATGTAAATGACTATATTGGCATCTAAAATACTTCTGGGTTTGTCTCCAGGTGATAGTCTAAGAACGTGAACATTTCATGAAGTTTTTATCAGAGATCTTTTTAACGAGTAGATCTAGGAGTGGCACTAAGCTGTTCGTATTGCCTCCCGAGGGACTACTCAGCCCTCAAACTGTCTGTTCTTACAATCCAGATTTCCAATGAACGATGATAACGGTGCATCGTGTGACTGAATATTATCTGTAATCTCATCATGATTGTCACAGAATTGGTTTCCAGTCCTGCCCTCCTGGTTTGCATTAGTTGTGTTTTCTTCATTTTCTACGGAAACTGACGCAAGACCAGCTTCTACGGGTTGAAACCATGCACATTCCCCTTGTAGAACTTTTACAAAAGCTTCAACAACTACTGCAATACATGTGATGATCACATGGGGGTATTTCGTAACTTTTGTTCCAAGGAGTACATTCCTACAAACAGATATTAAGTAGTAATCAATGAATCATCTTGAAGCTTGACAATGGAGGCTATGATCCCGTATAGGACCCGCGACAAGGTGCTATGATTGCAAACGAGTGACAGGGACCGGTTTAAGGCTTGGCTGCGCGAGTGCAGGTGCGCACGCTGAATCGGGCTGCGGGCTCCCTTCAGTTGTCGGGTGTGATGTTCGTAATTATGTCAAATAAACACTGATAGAGAAGGGAATTAACTGCAGATTTGATCCACAAACACGTTTTTATATTTTCTGTGTATGTTTTCAATGTTTTAATGTCTTTATTTCAAGTTTGCGCTGCTCTCACAAGAGACAATACACTCATGCAGCGAAGCGAATTTTTGAGAATTTTTATATGCATGTGGATTAGTGGTTCTTTGCCCTTGTGGACCCAACTCATGCACAGTGCAGCCACGCTTTATTCTGATACAAATGATCGGCGCAAGTTTTGACACTTTTGAGAATCAGCATTGCGACAGAGACCTTTTTTACGAGTAGATCTTGGAGTGGTAATAAGCTGTTCGTATTGCCCCCCGAGTTCCAAATTACACATCTTTAAAGGTTTGGTAGTCGGGAAAAAATTAAACTGCTTGAAATTTCGTATATAGGAATGATTCCTACACATTTTTGGGGACTAGTTTCACGCAGAACACGGATTTATATAACCCACACTGCACCGTCACTTTTACGTACGGTGTTTTACGTACAACATGTACAATGTACAGGTACAGGTACATTGTATGCTTAAGCAGCGCATGTGAGTAATTCACCTGAATGCTAACGAGTTTACACCATGAATGATGCATGTAGATGGGCGAGGTACGTCCGGGGATGGTTAGTCGCGAGTTCACATAACTTGCACGGAAGGGGTGACGCTTATAGGCAGAAAAAATGCAACAAGGAAAGGAAGCAAGACAGCACGACGCGACACGTCGTGTGTGTACAAACGTAATGGCAAGAAGGCGAGGCGAGCGAGGGAGCCGTCGTGCCGTCGCGTCGCGTAGTTGCGTCGCCTGGAGGGAGGCTAGAGAGGGAGAGAAATGTGTGTCGTAAATAGTACACCATAGTTTGGAGCCTCTGAACGCTCTCTGAAAACGTGCATTTTTTGTTGGAAGAAGTGCTGAATGAATTTGTGCAAGGCACTCTTGGACCTAAGCGACGGTACATTTCCATGGCGGTGGAGCATAAAGTTGTAGAGTCGCCATTGGTCTTGCTAGTAGACTGTTAAGTTGGTTTGGAGAAATCGTCGTTCATGCCGTCGCTTTTCCACTTGTAGTACTCGTGAATCATCGGTGTACGTCATATGGGCCATGGGGACGAACACATTATTTTGACGCGGTCAACGATCGGTGCATAACCGGCTGTTGGTGAGGTTACTTAAAACTCTGGCGTACATTTCGGGCTAAAGTTTGGAAGTTGAAACTCGAGGTCAGCTGCAATTAAATGTGGTTGTCTCTGTCACCACCTGTCAACCAAGTCTTCCTTCCTCCATGCTCTCATTGCCAGGACATCGAATTGTGATCAGTGACAAAATTACACATTGCAAGTTTTTCTTTTTGATTTCATGGAGTGTGTATTCCATACAGCAAGAAGTGCACTTTGGAGAAGTGTTTAATGACGATCAGTACTCGTAGCTATAGAATCATATTGTTTCGAGTTTTGCCCTTTTTCCTACTTCCTGTTGGGGATGAGTACAGGAGTTCAGTGATTATACTTTTTGTGTGTCTGCTTAGTCGTCTTCCTGATACTGGATTTCTTCTCACACCAGGCAGGTCACAGTGGAGTCGAGACTGATGTTTATCGACATTCTCCTTTATATGTTTAAGGGGGCGCCCGTGTTGTATTTAAAATGGCACAATGATTAAAACAAGTGGACTAGTATCAGATTGTGTTCAATTCAGTTAAAGTGCTGTGTCATGTCTGGTGCTGCAAAGACGGTAATAATGCCGAATAGTTCATTATAGCAGCACAACAATGAGAAAATCATACTTCACCTTAGGAAGTTCACAGACTGAAATACGTTACAGGACGTCGAAGTCCATGTATGAGTAAGTAAACACGAGTAGAATTGAATACTACAAGAGTATCCAAAAAGTTAATAAAGAAGTTGTTATTTAAACACACAGTCTCTCTACATGTGACAGATAATGTGATGATACCACACACGACTCTGGAAACTAGCTCCAATGAGCATTTTCTGGACCAATGCAAAGGAATTAAGAGCACGAGTACAGTCGCTTGAATTTGCACTCCCTACGAAAAAGAAATTGTCGATATGCAACAGCCCATGGGCATACATTTATCATTGTAATATGATCCATTAAATTGGAACCCATGTAGATTAAAGTCATCCGGATGAACCGGTAGCAAGCAAAATGCTGACTTTATGTTATATTTGGCCATGAGTGCACCGGGACCAGTACTAGACACCAAAGTGACTGCCTCATCAAAACTAGTGTAACTAACAGCAGTAAGAGCAGGATCAGTGTGGTCGTTTACCGAGTTGCCTTTGGGGAAGAGAAATTGTGAATCAAGCGAAATTGCCCTGGTGTTTGTTTGGGTACCAGACCAACAGGAGAACAGCGCGAGTTTGGTAAAGGAGGGTTAGAATAAGGACCAGCAAT